AAATAAATAAAGTTGTCTAAATCCTCTGTGATTGTTACTTTTGGATTTTTTTTTTCCATGTTCAGATGCAAACCTGACTTTGCAATTTCTGCTTTGGCTTTCTTTGAACAACATGGACAAGGTCACAGGGGAGAGCACTGTCCTTCAGATAATCCAAACCTGAGCCATTTAGGGCTTTATAGGCCAGACTCTGAATATACACAACTGTCAATGCAAGGGCTTGCACTCGTAGCATTACATATTCAAATCCAGGTCATGGCACGGAGCATCTGCAGGTACGTGCACTCCTCCACAATCCCTTCTGGGGCCTCATTTACCTGTCATGTTTTACTGCCTTTCAAAAGATAAAGTGAAAATGCAAATCCACATCAAATTTCAAATGCCATGCCATGAATTTCCAAGTTTCGGGGAATTCAGTGTTACATCAAAGGCTCTGACAAAGACTCATGCACCACCCAAGAAGGCGCAACTATATTGTTGTCGATGAGTCCTTATGGTCACTTTCTGGCAGATGCTGACCATAGAGTGGAGCTAGAACACCGTTTCTAAAACTCTGGGTCTCGATATCAAATGGGGTCCCTTTCGCTCAATGTTGGGGTCTCGAAAAATTTTCCAAATGCCACCTAGTGGTTGCTTTAGATATTTACATTAATCTGTTGTGACCTGTTCAGACAGCCTTGCAAAAGCTGATTGGTTATCCGTAAATGCTTGATTTTTATTCCTGTTTTTTATCCCATTGGATTTCTTTGCCGCCACATCACACTGTTGGTTCATGTTTAACTTGTTGTCCATGAGGACTCCAAGATCTTTTTCACACGTACTGCTCTCGAGCCAGGCATTGTCCCCCATTCTGTATCTTTGCATTTCGTTTTTTTGCCTAAGTGGAGTATCTTGCATTTGTCCTCGTTGAACTTCATTTTATTAGTTTTGGCCCATCTCTCTAGTTTTGGCCTCACTTCCAACAAACCTCTGAAGATGCAGGTGAAACATCAGGAGAGAATGCTACTGACCCTCCAGTGTTTTGGACTCCAACTTCCACCATTCCTAACAGCCTCAGGCCCCTTCCTTTCCCCCCTCAGCCGCTTAAAACAGTGGATGTGGCTCTTAATGAGACATGCCGCATTATCACGGGATGTCTGCACCCTACACCACTGGAGAAATTACACTTAGACTTAGATGAAGGGCTAGAAGACATGATCATCAAGTTTGCAGATGACACCAAATTGGGAGGGATAGCCAATACTTCAGAGGACAGGAGCAGGATTCAAAACGATCTTGACAGATTAGAGAGATGGGCCAAAATTAGCAAAATGAAGTTCAACAGTGACAAATGCAAGATACTCCACTTTGGCAGGAAAAACGAAATGCAAAGATACAGAATGGGGGACAATGCCTGGCTCAAGAGCAGGACGTGTGAAAAAGATCTTGGAGTCCTCATGGACAACAAGTTAAACATGAGCCAACAATGTGATGTGGCGGCAAAAAAAGCCAATGGGATTTTGGCCTGCATCAATAGAAGCAGAGTGTCTAGATCTAGGGAAGTAATGCTACCCCTCTATTCTGCTTTGGTTAGACCACACCTGGAATATTGTGTCCAATTCTGGGCACGACAATTCAAGAGAGATATTGACAAGCTGGAATGTGTCCAGAGGAGAGCGACTAAAATGATCAAGGGTCTGGAGAACAAGCCCTATGAGGAGCGGCTTAAGGAGCTGGGCATGTTTAGCCTGAAGAAGAGAAGGCTGAGAGGGGATATGATAGCCATGTATAAATATGTGAGAGGAAGCCACAGGGAGGAGGGAGCAAGCTTTTTTTCTGCTTCCCTGGAGACTAGGACGGAACAATGGTACAAGAGAGGAGATTCCATCTGAACATGAGGAAGAACTTCCTAACTGTGAGAGCTGTTCAGCAGTGGAACTCTCTGCCCCGGAGTGTGGTGGAGGCTCCTTCTGTGGAAGCTTTTAAACAGAGCCAGTTGCACAAAAGTCTGGAAGCATTTGTTTAACCTTTTAAAGACAAGAGAAGTTTCTGTTTGATTGTTCCTCAATAAAAGACTTAGTTATAATTTCACAAGCCATCTAAAGACTATTTGTGGTGGAAAACCTCTGAGAACTTCTCTTTGGGGCCCCCTGGCTTCCCGCTGGGCAAAGGTTGCACGTCCTGTTCTAAAGGAAATTCTTTACAGGCCCAGCGCGTGACAGAACACACACAGTACACTTGCCTCACTTCAAACAAACCTCTGAAGATGCCAGTCAGAGATGCAGGTGAAACGTCAGGAGAAAATGCTACTGGAATATGGCCATACCGTCCGAAAGAAAGAAAAATCACAGCAACCCAGTGACTCTGGAAGTGCTAGACTTCTGTGGTGTGAAAGAGAGTGGAAGCCTACACATTCTCCACCTTCTGCCCAACCTCATTGATTCTTGGGCCCTTGCCCTGAACTTACACAGCATGTTGGTCACCTGCCTCCTCCTGGCCTTCTTCTGCCGGAGACGGACGTTGTGATAGTCGCAGTTGCCTCCGGACTTGGCCTCCAGCGCCTCCAGCATCTTCTCCTTCCGCAGCTGGAGCCCAATGAGGAGGTACAGCACGCTGATGACGCCCATGGGCAGGAAGAAGAAGACGATGGTGGTGACCTGGATGATGAGGTTGTACATTAGGCGGGACTTGACTAGGGTGCAGGTGGCTGAGTTGGGGACCACCCCCCAGCAGGGGACATAGAGGGTCTGGATGCCGTGGAGGCTGGTGTTGGGGACAGAGCAGAGGACGGAGAGAACCCAGACGGTGACGATGACCCGCTTGGCGTGGGTCTTGGTCACCACGTACTTGGCCTTCAGTGGATGGACCACGGCGATGTAGCGCTCCACGCTGAGGGCGGTCACGTTGAGGATGGAGGCGAAGCAGACGGCCTCGAAGAGCAGCGTCTTGAAGCAGCAGCCGCCGGAGCCCAGGAGGAAAGGGTAGTTGCTCCACATCTCGTAGATCTCCAGCGGCATCCCCAGGAGCAGCACCAGCAGGTCGGAGGCAGCCAAGCTGAACAGGTAGTAGTTGGTGGGCGTCCGCATGAAGCGGTGCTGGATGATCACCAGGCAGGTGAGGGTGTTCCCCAGCGCCCCCACCAC